ACAGATAATCCTGTCTTTCGAAATCTTTGTTTAAATTATTGGGTATTACGACTGGCATGGAGTGAGTACAAACAACACTATGGTTCAAGAGCTGAAGAGGGACCTGAACACAAAAGACAAAGACATGTGGCTTACAGGCAACTGGTTCGATGGTGTTGGAATGTATTGGGCAAGAAAATTAGAGTACCACTACCATCTTGTGCTGTTAGCTGCATTCGAGCACATTTCCAACCACCAGGTCTAGAAGAGGACTTTGTCTTTGAGAGTTTTAAATTCGCTGATGAATAATAATGTTAATTTAAATTATTATAGCCATATTTATAAGTATCGTTAGTGATGAATTACTAATAAATAAAGATATAAATTGGATTTAGTAAATGAACAATAAATACAAATTATAATGGCCAAGCCAAACCAATTCTTTATTTGTGCTATGCAAGGATTTTGGTGTACATAATTGAAAAGTGCCTTTGCTAATGAATTTGCATAGCAAAACAAAAAATTGGGCTACTTTACTATTAGAGATTCTCTTATTATTATTTATAAATATTGATATATACATAACTATTTTTTGGGGACTATTTACTCATTGTTGATTTGTGTGCTTGTATAACACTTTCTTTGTTTGGCTTTTCCATAGATGCAATAGTTCTTGGAATGTTTGCTGGTAAAGAAATCTTGTTACGTACATTTTTTACATTAAAACAGCAGACATCTTCCATCATACCTTGCACAAAAGAATATGACTTACTCGCCATAATTAGCTTGGCTACCCATTTTTTTTGCCCTTTTTGGGAACACAATAAGTACAAGTGGAAGGAGGGAAAATACTTTATTAAAAGTGCTTTTCGTATAAAGGTATGCTTGCAAGAACCAAGTTGGCAGTGATAAACCATAATGTAAACACTTTCAGAAAACAAGCACAAGTTCAATGTGGAAAGCAGCAATGGGAAAAGCGATATAATATTGAATTCCCAAAAGGGCAAAAAAATTGGGTAGCCAAGCCAATTATGGCGAGTAAGTCATATTCTTTTGTGCAAGGTATGATGGAAGATGTCTGCTGTTTTAATGTAAAAAATGTACGTAACAAGATTTCTTTACTAGCAAACATTCCAAGAAATATTGCATCTATCGAAAAGCCAAACAAAGAAAGTGTTATACAAGCACACAAATCAAGAATGGATAAATAGTCCCCAAAAAATAGTTATGTATATATCAATATTTGTAATTAATAATAAGAGAATCTCTAATAGTAAAGTAGCCCAATTTTTTGTTTTGCTATGCAAATTCATTAGCAAAGGCACTTTTCAATTATGTACACCAAAATCCTTGCATAGCACAAATAAAGAATTGGTTTGGCTTGGCCATTATAATTTGTATTTATTGTTCATTTACTAAATCCAATTTATATCTTTATTTATTAGTAATTCATCACTAACGATACTTATAAATATGGCTATAATAATTTAAATTACCATTATTATTCATCAGCGAATTTAAAACTCTCAAAGACAAAGTCCTCTTCTAGACCTGGTGGTTGGAAATGTGCTCGAATGCAGCTAACAGCACAAGATGGTAGTGGTACTCTAATTTTCTTGCCCAATACATTCCAACACCATCGAACCAGTTGCCTGTAAGCCACATGTCTTTGTCTTTTGTGTTCAGGTCCCTCTTCAGCTCTTGAACCATAGTGTTGTTTGTACTCACTCCATGCCAGTCGTAATACCCAATAATTTAAACAAAGATTTCGAAAGACAGGATTATCTGTAAGACAGTCCGGAGTATCTATTCCCTCCAAATGTGCTGAGTCTTCATCAATTGTTACAACAGCTGAATTTCGTCGGAGTCGTCCATAGGCTCGTCGCTAGAGTCTGTTTCAATAGGCTCATAAGCATATGGTTGAATCATGTTTTGATCGTTAATCATTTCTTCGTAGTTTGAAACACTGCTTCCAGAATAATTACTAGAGGAATCGTTTGAGTAATCCGTATCCATTGCGCAAAATAATTTAAAAACTTAGAAAATAAAATGCAACTATGAATATGCTTATGCGTAATTTCTACTTTTGCTAGTATATTTTGTCCAATGTTGACAACGATCACCGCGCAGTGACGTAACGACGAAAAACCGCAGCTGGACTGCAGCTTCGCTTGCATGTACACAATGGCGATCGAACAAGAGGCAAAAATACACACATTTAAGGCATTATTTCTCGAGTTAAATTTGAATTGGAAACCTAGGATTTCGCGAGAGAGGTAAGAACAATATACACTTTCATATGAGTGAAAGTTGTGTTAAGGTCTGACTACTCCTTTAAGAAAGAGATATGGCGAGTAACTCGAACTCAACATTGTTTTTTACCTTAATGTGAGAGCGAAATAATATTTGGCTATTTCGAATCAAGGATAATGCCGGAATCGTGCGCGGCTTATAATTGTACAAACAGACGAGGAAGAATTCTTACTTGTTATTTCACAAGTAAGTACACCCACAGACTTAAAAGTTTTGTGAGTATATTGCAATAAGTGTAGAAGTTTTACTCTTGTAAGGTGCGATTTGAAAACGATGACATGCTAGCACGTACATATGTTGTAAAGAAATAAAAATGAAGCCATTATCGTCATATTTTATTAATTTATTGGTACGTAAATATAAAAAGTGCTTTTTATTTAGATTCCCCTTAAAAAATCCTAGTCTATTAACAAGTTGGCTAATTGCAATGAAACGGGATAAATGGAAGCCATCTCAATACTCTGTTTTGTGTGAGAAACACTTCAAACTGCAAGACTATGCAATGCCTGGAATTCAGTTAATGGAATGTGCTGATCAAACCAAAAAGTATTTGAAGGCAGATGCAGTACCATCTGTTTTTAATTTTCCTTTGAATTTCCAAAACAAAGATGGGCAAAGGAAATCTCCAAGAAAGAGAAAAGCTTCCAGTCCACAAAAACATGTGGCTCTAAAGAAACCGGGCACTCTGATCATCCAGATATACAAGATCATGCATACAGCATGTCCCCAACAAAAGTCATCCCCAAAATGAAAAATTGTCTAAAAAAAGAAAAAGAAAGATAAGAGCACTGACAAGCAAAAATCTTCGCAAAGAGAAAACAATAAAAGGACTATTAAAAAAGCTGGAATGCACGCAACACTTGTTAAAGGAGCAAAGTCAAACCCTAAACTCCAACTTTGGACATATGATTAAGAACTTGTTTGAGAATGAAAGAAAAAATGCCAACAAGTCAAAGAATTCAAAATACAGTGATACCATCAAGCAATTTGCTATCTCCTTGCATTTTTACAGTCCTAGGGCATACAACTTTGTAAGACGAGCACTTCACTTACCATGTCCATCAACCATCCGAGCATGGGCAGCTGTCATTGACTGTGAGCCTGGTTTCTCAAGCAATGCCATTGAACATTTGCAGAATGGTCATGGAGAGAACTGCAAAGATTGTATCCTGATAGTAGATGAAATGGCCATAAAAAAAGAAGTAATTTGGGATGTGAAAAACAAGAAATTTGCTGGCAATACATATTATGGTCCTATTCTTGCAGAAAAACAGGATAGCATTGCAACAAATGCTTTAGTCCTATTATATCTATGTTCTACAGGTAGCAAAAGTGAAGCCTAATTATATATGCAAAATTCACTTCCGGTTACAACGGCGAGATACAAATTACTATAGAAATGTATGGCGGATAACATTTACAAACATGGATTTTCGAATATTTAAAACCTTTCGCGACTCCTTACTAACCTCAAGTATTATTCATGGATAAAACAGGTTATTCGAATCGATTTGACATAAAAATGATTCCGATAGCTGTAAAATAGCGACTTAAGTGTTGATTTAAAAGTTGTACATGCAAGAATATATTTTATCCCATCGTTGCCAATGCAAGATAGTTCACTGCTCGCTTTCCAATTTCTAAGGCAGTTATGATCTAGTACACGTTTCAATTCTTTAGAAATGAGGTGAGTTACCTTTTTATCATTCCTTCTTTATGTTGAGAGATTGCTGACATTTTATTTTTGCTGTAACTTCATTTTTTGTGAGCCAAGTACTACTGATGCTTAAACAAGACAAGTTTATTTAGTTTCTTTCGCACTTTATCTTTAGTTTCTAATTCTGCAGTTGTTTTTCCCAAATGGTATAGTCGCACCTTGCTGTAGCATTTAGATATGGTCTTAATTAATGAGTAAATATGATTTTCGTGAACAGTAGTATTCAACATGTGTACATTGAGATCCTTGAATGTGGTCCTCAAATCTATACCATTTAATAAAGACACAGCAATAGCATAAGGAATTCCTTCCCCTTGCGGTAAATTTCCATCTGTAGCTTCCAACATTCTCAGAAAGCATCCCTCTGTTTCATTGCATATTACTATTACACTTGCTGTTGGCTTAAAAAAATTACCCCTGTCTTTTAAAGTCAGGAAAGCCGACTCATTTTTATACTTTCTTGAACCGACTGCTTCATGACAAACAGGACAGTTTATTTTCTTTTGCACCATCCGGCCAACATAGCCAGCCATATTCAATATTGCCGCCTTTTTAAATCTAGATACAGTGGAAAAGCTTAGTGCATCACTATAATCTTCATCCTCATCTTTGTTGTGATTTGTCCCTTGCAAATCATACTTTCGGATGACAGCACCATCATCAATTGTCATACTTGATTCTTTGTTTGGCATTTTATAGGTGTCCCCAATTACTTCCAATATGTTAGTTCCATCTTGTGATGGAATGGATGGAACTAACATATTGGAAGTAATTCAAATATCTTGTAATGAGTGGAATGGAGAAGCGGATGAATTTTGAGGCCGTGGAAACAGTGACTGTTGATGAGGTGGCGGCAGCTCTGCGCAAGATGAAGAAACGAAAGGCGACGGGACCAGTGAAGTGGGTAGCGAAATGCTGGACAATGAACTATGCGTGAAGGTGATTGTAGCAAACGAGGTTTAAGGGGCTCAAAGATGCCGATTACATGGAGAAAGAGTCAGGTCCCGCTGTACAAAGGAAAAGGAGCAGCGACGGTATGTGGGAATTACAGGACTATTAAGCTGATGGAGCAATGCGTTGAAGATAGTAGAGAAGTGTTTGAAAAAGGTTGAGGGATTGTTCGGATGGGGAAGAGCAGTATGGATTCATACCGGGGAAGAACGACGGATGCGTGTTTTGTGTTGAGGCAGCTGCAGGAGAAATTTTGGAGAAGGACAGAAATTGTATATGGTGTTTGTGATTTGGAGAAGGCGTTTGATAGAGTTCAGAAAGGTGATCGAGTACGCGCTATAAGTGTGACAGAGAATATGGTTCGGGCAGTTATGAACTAATGAAGGTGTAGAGGCGGTGGTTACAATAATTTAGTCTGGTGTTTGAGGTAAAAGTTGGTGTTCATCAAGGTTCAGTCTTGTCGCCGTTACTGTTTGCTTGTGTGATGGATGTACTGACAGAAAGTGAAAGAAAGTGCTGGTGTTTGTTGTATGCAGAATATTAAGATCTTCGTGGCGAGAAAGTAGAAAATGGAAACCGAAATCAAAGGTCAAAATAAAATGAAATAAAACAAAAGGGATGAAGGTAGAATGATGGCCAAATATGTGAAAAGTTAGGTAATTCGATAATGTGTGGAAATGCAGTAAAGAAGGTTCATGGAAGGTGTCCGTACATTGAAGAGTAACTGATTTTGAGTGCGGGACGTGTCGAAGTGGTGGGCGAGTCGCGATTGAACGGTTTGAACTGGGTGACCTGAGTTTGGAAGGTGTATCGGGTTTAAATATCTGGGCGATGTGTAAACGATGGTGGAGAGTGCGAGCAAACGGTGAGGAACAGAGTTCAAGCAGCGTGGTGAGTTTCGAGAGTTGTCGGAATGTTGTTCGGAAAGTCGAATTCGTTGAAGCAGAAGGAGAATTGTACAAGGCATGTGTTAGAAGTGTTTTGGGATATGGAGCAGAGTGTTGGGCGCCGAAAGCAGAGGTGAAAGATTGGCGTCGACGGAAAGGAGAATGCTTAGGATGATGGTGAACGTTGATGGTTAGATGGATTCGTGAAGAGATTAGAAAGAGTTGGTATTCAGTGTATCGAGAATTGGGTAAGGCGCCAGCGTTTGAGGTGGTTTGGGCATGTGGAAAGGAGGGAAGAAAGTGCTGAAATTCGTAGAACGTTGCATGATGTTGATGGAGTCCGCAAATGAGGTAGACCGAGAAGGAGATGGATGGATGCATGAACAGTGAATGAAGGCGATGGGTATAACAGAGAATATGGCGAGAGATAGAGACGTTTGGCGTAGCAAAGTTCATGGACCGGTCAACCCCCCTGGCGGGGATTAATACTGGCCGGTATACAAATGTTGCTTGCTTGCTTGCATGTTAGTTCCATCTTGTCTGGTGCAGTTGCCATTGCAACCATGGATACTGCTTCTCATCAAAAGTCTCTTGTATGCAGCCGTAAATTGTTCAGCTGTTGGATTGTTGTTAAAGCCTCCTGAGACCGAATTGCTCCAAAAGCTGTAAATGATCTTGGCTAAATTTATAAGTCAAAATATTTTCATTGGTGCATCTTCCTTTTCAACCAACTCAACAAAAATTTGCTTTATAATATCAATTGCCACAAGAAACCCAACAAAACCAGTTTTGCGATGGGTTGTGTACATTAGATCACCTGATGCATTTTTTAGACCAATAATGTATTCACGGGCTTCATCAAGAAAGGGTTCCCAACTATCCTTGTTACTTTTTTGAAGAGCTGCTTTGAAACCTTTGGCATATGGATTGCGAGAATTAGGGATGTCAAATAAATGGTCAAAAGTTCTAATGAACTTCACTGTAGCTTCTGAACCTTCTAACTGTGGAAGCTTTAGAGTTTCCCTACAGTAATCAATTGCATCTGCAACACTGGCAGGGAAAGTCTGAGCAGCAAGATTAGCTTTCATCTTTTGTTGCCATCACTGAATACGTGAAAGGTTCAACTTATTTCCAAGCCTCAACCCTTCTTTTGTTTGTAGTTTTTGTATCTCAGCTAAATATTCCCAACAAACTTTGTTTTCGTCTTTATCAAATAACATCCCACCATCCCTTAAAGTATTTCTTACAAGCTTGAGCATATGACATACATCAAGAAAAATGTATTTCTTCTTCTCTTTATTCAATGGATATGAGAAGTATGGCCTGATGTCAGGAAGTTTTAATTGAGCCCCAAGTTCATGCAGCATTGAAAATTGAATGATGGTCCATCGCAAATAAAAGAAATGATATCTATTCCAACATCATGCAACCTTTTGATACATTTTAATTAAATTTGCTCGCTCTTTTCCTCTGGGCCATCAATGAAAAAGTATCCAACAGGAACTTTCCATTTTTATTCACACCTCCTACAACCATAAAGACAAGAGCATCTTTGGCTATTAGTGCAGAATCATCATCTTGCACATCACTGCCCAGATCAACGTAGCCACGAATTTCTGTCCATCCTAGGATACATGTTTCTTTATGGCCATCTCATCTATCATGAGACTGCAGATTAATTTTTCTCCATAATCTTTTACCCTTTGTGATAATGCTTGAAATGATGGTTCTGTAAACCCTGGATCGGCGGGGACCTTAGCATACCACTTTCTGACTTGAACAGGATGAGGAAGTGCCCAATTGAATGTCTTTCGCACAAAGTCATATGCCTTCTCTAAGTAGAATTGAAGAGTGAGGGCAAAGGACTTGAGTTCTGGCGAGTATTTACATCCTTTACCAGAGTTTGATGACATTCTTTTTAATAATAACAGACGTACTTCTGAAAAGTTTCTCTTTAACATCTCTTCACATGCAGAAGAAATTAAATCCTTTTTCTTTAGCTGTTTCACTATGTCCTTTAGGGGTGCATTTCTTTTGTTGTCGCGTCTTGCTTTTTGTTGACTTGCCTTAAGTTTCCTTTTCAGGGAAATAATTTCTTCATGATAAGCCCTTTTCATCTTTTCCATCTCATCTGCATACTTGGTTTTAGTATATAATTGATTTACTTCTGTGTCAAGTGCCATCTTTTTTGCAGGGGTTGGTACACATTCATCATCTGTGCATGCTTCAACTTCGATCGTTTTGTCATTTATGCCATTTTAAGTCTATTTGATGTTGTAATTCGACTTTGTTTATGAAATAAAAAATATTTGAGCTAACTATAGACTGCACTTCTGTGCAGTTGAATAACTGTGTATGCTAGTCTAATAATCATGTCACATGTTAGACAGTCTGGACAATATGTATGGATAATAAATGTTGTAAAACCTAACGCTCTTATGACTTAACCAGTTTATTTATTTTATTTCAAATATGTATTTGTAGAGTTCAAAGAGATATGACAATTTGGTGCTGATTCGTTATACAAGGCGTTGCTGATATGTTGATTTATATCAGGGCTTACCCTAAAGCCGAAGCCCCTAACAACAGTTTCGTCCAATTAGTGCATATTTTGAAATTCATTAACATCATATGATTGCTTGCCATAAGTGTTCGTTGCGCTTGCACAAATTTTGTATTGTAAATTATAACAAGAAAAACTGTCTATAAAAGTAACATTAATACGTATGCTTGGACGTGGAGATGGATAATTTACCTTCAGCATATGTGTTGGAAAACTTTTAAACCGTGTTGGAATGCATCTTTCTTAAGCTTTATTATTTTTCCAGCTCTGTCAAAACAACTCTTACTAAAATGGTTCGAAGAAAGGCGAGAGTTGCTGCTCGGTAACCAATCTTTTCTTCTGATTTTCTCAACCCATATTTTTTTTGGCTCGGATCGGCTGGGAATTTGGACAATCAATAATAAATTGGAATTTTCTTTTGTTCTTATTTGTAAAACGTGAACAATGGACGCTTACGTAGACGTCATAAATAATTGTAGCTATTTTTGTATTTTTCTTGTTCCCCTTGTAACAGCTATAGTTTACGAAAATCACGTGGATTAGTAATCTATAGAGATAACTTTATACCTGTGAAACGAGCGAGGTTGTTGCCTTTTTGTCGCAGTCTTTTCATCAGGTGAGCCATCACTATCAATCCGATTTAACTCAGTTGTTTTATTTTTTTTGTTGCAGACGAATGCACAACATTGCATCCCTAGTCTACCCTTTTTTTGAATCAATCGCAGTTACTTCTTTTAATTTCTTAAAGAATTCAGAATCGCAGTTGAAAGCCGTAACTTCGTGTAGGAAAACAGCGCCAGTTTATAATTCAGCGACCTTTTTCACCCTGATCTCAAAAATAATGTTCTTATACTCAGAAATAATATAAATTAAAATCTCATTTTTTGTTCTAAATTTTATTTTCCTCTTCTAAGTGCTAAGCAAACTCCAGAAGTTAGTATGAATATAATATTTATGCCTTAAATATTTTTCCCAAAACATTAAAATTATTCTTAAGATATGAATGTAGTTAGGGATGGTATGAATATGAATTGCAGTTGACATTAGAATCCTTTTCAGTAACAGTTTAATCATCAGTCTTGAGTCTTGTATTAATAAGAAAGACAAGAGCTTTATTCCACTTGTAAAGTGTAACTTCAACAATCCAACAGTTGACCAATTTACAGCTATAGACAATAAACTGTTGGTGAGAAGCAGTATTCATGGCTGTAAAGGAATTAGCACGAGACAATGTGAAAGATTAAACAAAGCACCCAGCTTTTGCACTCTTAAAGGGCCTGCAAATTCATACCTGGCTGGCTACATCACCTTGATGTTTCAAAAGCAGTATAGTAAAGTGTCCTTAAGTGTGTAGAACGCATTTGTTAGATTTTAATGTTAATGAAAATCACACTTCTTTAAATAATTAAGCGCAAAGTGTGACTACGCCCTTTAAGAAAAACAACTACAGAAATGGAAACGAAAGAGAAAGTGCGAAAGAAACTAAATAAACTTGTCTTCTTTAAGCATCAGTAGTACTTGGCTCATGAAAAATATGAAGTTAAAGCAAAAAAAATGTCAACAATCTCTCAACGTAAAGAAAGAATGACAAAAACAACTCGCCTCATTTCTAAAATTGAAAACGTGTGTACTAGATCATGCCTCAGAAATTGGAAAGCGAGCAGTGAACTATCTTGCATTGGCAACCATAGGACAAAATATATTCTCGCATGTACAACTTTTAAATCAACACTAAAGTCGATATTTTACAGCTATCGGAATCATTTGACGTCAAATCAATTTGCATAACCTGTTTTATCCATGACTAATACTTGAGGTCAGTAAGGAGTCGCGAAAGGTCTTAAAAATTCGAAATTCCATGTTTGTAAACGTTATCCGCCATACATTTCTATAGTAATTTTATCTCGCCGTGGTACCCGGAAGTGAATTTGCATATATAATTAGGCCACTTTTTGCTACCTGTAGAAGCTATATCCAGTCTACTATCAGATCAGTGGTCTGATGACATATAGCTCAAATCAGCTTCTGTTTTTAAGTCACATGCATCATTTTCAAGCTAAGCGAATTTTCGAGCAGCTACTAAGTTCAATTTAAGCTTCAATTTAAGCATTATGATTGGCTATAGTTATTGTTGTCATGGATTCTTCAGAAACTTGAGAAAATTTTGAGGTGTTGAGGAAGAGTTTAAGGCACATTTTAAAACGAACCGGTTAAAATTATTATTTTTGTGCAGTCATTATATAATATTGGCCGTTTCGACCAATAAATTATTGATCATTACTTCAATATGTTTGAATGATGAATTATGATCAAAAGCAAAAGTCATTAAGTTGTAACAATAAATAAACACTGTTAGAAAAATTAATGCATTTATTTAACTTGCATTGCATGACCCGCATGAACGCTAACCATTTGAAAAATATTAAAAAATACAAATTGCAAGATTTACATCCTATGCATTTTTGACAGTATGGTTTTTGTGATGCAGAAAATTCTTTAAATTAAAGAAGTGCAAAATTATGAAGCAAAACCATTTTAATTGTTTTTGCAATATATGATCAAAACAGTGCGTATTAACTGAGGTCATAGGTTTGGGGCAGTTAATTTACGCTTTGCATTGAGTGTTCAATATCTGACTGTTGACATATAACTCAAATTAGCACATGATATATATCAAATTGAAGCAAAGCGATTTTTGAGCTATATATCAGATGTATATCAGATGCTACTGAGATGTATAAGCTTGAATAAGGCATTTTGATTGGCTAGAATTGTAAATTTAATGGTTCTCTTGGACTTGAGGAATTATTTGAGGAATTTGCATTAGACTACACTTAACATTTCACTGGCATATTTTAAACTTCATCACGAGCCTCGAGACAACAGCAAGCAGACACCACAGAAGATAAACAATAGCAGGCGGCTAATATTCATATATTTTTATAGCATGCCGCAATAAGCTCCTTTGAAATTCATTGTTTTCTGTAGATTATGACATGTATGATTATGATTATGACCCTGAAGCGTACCTCAAACTAAAATATTTATAGACTTTTAACATATAACGTTGTAGAGCGCGTTATTTCTTTAAAAGGATATCTTTGCTCTCGAAAAAAAAGATAGTCGTTAAATTAAAACAATAAACAAACTCTGTTCCAAAAGAAAATGATCAACCTAATTTTCAACACTCTTAGGAAAGCGTTTACTCCTGCAGAGCATGAACTTTATGAGCAACGAACTTTGCACAATAATAAAAAACTGGAAGAAATGTAAACTTATCAACAGAAAAAAATTCTAATTCTTTTTCATTACAAAAAATTATTATTGAAAGTAGTAAATACACCTGTATATAGCATTTGGCACAACGGAATTCATTGGTAAAAAACGCCTAAATTACAGTTCAGTTTAGCTACTCTTTATGCCTTTAGATATTCACATTATTATTGCTTTTAGATTACAAAGTAAAAAGAATCATAAATTGAATGGACTTGCAAAAAACCTTGCTATACTTTTCATTGTTTTTGGAATATGTATATATTGCACCTCTCTCTTCAAATACCTTGGCTCAAAATATTTCGAAATGGGCTTCCACTTTCTTTTTGTTAATTCCTCTATTTTTTCATGAAATTCATAGCCAGGATCGTCCAGTACAACTTCATTAATAGTAAAAGTATTACGCCTCCTTGCTTGACACATGAATAAAATCCTCCATTCCTTTTCCTTTACATGACCAGGACAAAAACACCAACACATCACTGCATCGTAATGTCCAGCGGTTACTCTAACTCAGCTGATCCATCTGATCCCATGATCCTTTTTAAGTGATCTATATCATGTTGAAATACGAACAGCAATAAGAAGAAAGACACAGAACAATATTCTTCAAGAAATAACGAAATAAAATGACTTATTAAATATATTTGTGGGGTATACATTATTTATTCAAAACATTCGGAAAAACGACTCATCGCAACTTTAGCTTTTCATTTATTGTAACACAAAACAAACAAAAAAGGCTTGCCATCATCAGAAATTCTCTCATAGAGTTATGAAATTGGTGCCAACCCAAAGCATATGTATAATGTCCCCGAAAAATTCAGCCCCCCACCCCATCTCCAATTTTCACGTAAGCAAATCAGTAAAACCAAAAACAAATGAAATGATTTTTATTGTTGTTTCCAGTATAAAATTCCATTAGTTAAAGGACGATTCAAAATTTGAAAGCAAATAATATGTGATGAAATTTGAAAAGATATGCAATATTTAATTAAATATCTGTTATTGTGCTATTTGAGCCTATAAGTAAGACAAACGCTTTCAAAAGATAATAAAGGTTAGGTCGAACAGGAAAAATCAGAAATGCAGAAGAAGATTCATGATAAAAGGTCTGACCTAAAAAGAATAGAAGCTAGTAGACATTAGGAGAAGAATAAACCTTAATCGTGATATAGTGCCCAACGAAAACAGGAAATATGTCCGAAAATTAATCAAAACGTCATGTAGTTTACAATAAATGAGGTACCAATAAAGGGTAGCAAATAAAACTGACGAATCTGAGAACCCTGGTAAATGGATCAGCTTCTTCCAGTTACAATCCAGATGTTTTAGGAACTCCAATTGGGCTTCCATGGATTATACAAAAAATACCCATACAAACGGAATAATAAAACTCATTGCTCATAGTGTTAGGTCTTCGCTATGTATCAAATTAAAGATAGTAGAAATGGGTTTTTTCAGTATTGATCCATGAGAGTAAGAAAACTGCAAAACGCGACGAAGGTGGGAAGGTGGTCGTTTTGTAAACGTTATAATAGATCGCGCATTTGTAAACTAACGTTTACTTTTATAACGTTTATTTGTACTTATGTTAACTTTGTAAACTAACGTTTTTGTAAGCTAACGTTTACTTTATAACGTTTACTTTCGTACTTATGTTAACTTTAAACTAACGTTTTGTAAATAACGTTTACAAAACGTTATGATAGATCGCGCTCCAGACTGAAACTGTCAATTGGGCTAATGCTCAGCTTGAGTTAACTAAAACCTGAGCTTCATTGGTTGCAATAAATCAATGAATGAGTCAATTTGTGAATCAATGGATGTGAACTTGATCCGCTTTACTATTGTTACACAACCGTCTAAAAGGGTAAAGGCTGGACAGGAATGAAGACCAAATCTTGAAAGCGGAATCACTAAAAGAAACTTGTAAATGAAAGACAAAATAGAAGAAGAATTCAAAGTGAGGCTTAACGCCAAGAACGTTAAAATCATGAACATTTTGAAGCCGTAGATGTCGTCAAAAATGCGTTGATGAAAAAGACAATCAGGTATCTTGCTGAACATTTTCATTGTTTAGGAATTGACCAATCCTTTCTCAAATGGAGATGGTGAGGGCAAAGAAAGATTTACTACTTGGGCTATCTATTTCTGAGAAGAGGTGCCAAAATCTCATAAAACAGGTTGGACTAAATAACACCTTCACCACATTGACAGCTCTAGATGAGAGATCTTTTCAGCATTGAAGCAAGTCTGCAACAAGATCCGATAAAGAATCACACCGTCAAGGCTGGGAGACCTGTTCTGTATCACACTCAATAGAGACTTGGTGAAGTAAATAGACATTGAAAATTTGATTAACTTGTGGTGCAAAGAGACAAACAGGTGGATTAGCGGTGGAAAATATTGCGTTGAGACTGAAAATGATACAGTTTTTATGTCATTCTTTTTAATGAAGATAATTATGATATTATACAGTTGTGCTCTAATTTTTTCTGACAAATTCAAGTAAAAGTTTCAAAACTTCAATTCTAATGACTTTTGTGTTTACACTATGACTATACAGTTACTATTTAATATTTTCACGTCATTTTTACTGGACTTGATGACATTTAACTGATTTTAGTGAAAGTAATTAGATTGCCTTATCTTATATAGCCATATGGCCATTCCCAAGTATAATCTTAATTTTCATCAATTTTTCTTGTGTGTACTCACTACTTGGTAGTTACTATTATTATTAAAATGTGTTAGTTTGTTTTAACTCTTACTCCCGGATGGCGCACATCTTGACAACACCTACAATTTATACATATCACTTTGTCATATTTCACTTCCTTAGCAGCCAACTCCCCAAAACTTGCAGTACACCCCAAATAAAATATGAAAATCCGTCTACGCTCCTGCACAAACTTGTTTTGGCGGCCATGTTTGCTCATTTGACGTCATAGGTAGTATGGAAATATACTGATAATAATTTCTATTGACATAATGAAAATGTACTCTGTTATACGTGAATTTAGCAAAACTGCAGTCAAAAAATTCGAAAAGGAATTGTCAAAAATTGACAGTTTTAACTGCTATAAAATTGATTTGAAAAGAAAATATTTGGTTCTGTTTGCAAAAAATATTTTTTGATTTTGCATTAGCTGATAAAACAGGGTACGAAAATCTCCCTGAATTAGCACTTTTTGTGAGAATAAAGTGAGGCAGGTACAAGTATGCCAAAAAAAAACAATCACATATGCAACTGGCACGTGAGAAAAATTCAATGTAGGAAACGAGGTATTTTAAAGTGATATGAGGAATGATCAAAGATGATATGTCAATAAAGCTGGAAGGCAATTTTGTTGAAAAGGTGACTGACTTTAAATACTTGGGTTAATGAGTGTAATGCAAAAAATGAGGAGCAACAGGTGACTTGCTTTGCTTACGTTCTGCTGACAGGTAAATTAATCTGAAGAGAGGTTAACAATTGTTGTTAGTGTTGTCCAAGTCTCGAACAAATTTGCCTGTCAGAAAAACTCAAACAAGACAGGTGCGTGCTTGTTAATGGCATTTTAATAAGCCTAATTCCTGCAATTTAAAATGAGCAAATTAAACGCTTGTAAGTGCATACTAATTAGTACAAAAATACTGTGTTTCTATTGATCAAAATGCTAGCGGTGTTAATTTTCAGCATTTTTAATAAGCGTTAGCAGTAGCGTAGCCAGCCCTACTTTTATTGCCGCTATGCCAATATTTTGGGCTTACTGACATTGAGAAAAACATTTCTAAAAATGAATGATGGTAATTATTTAAAGTTTACATAGCGGAGTAAATCAGTAGGCTGGCTACGCTACAGCTTAGATTATGTATAATACATAGTGGTTACAATACAACGACAAATGAAAAGTCGAAGCCAAAATAATCGGGTGCTTACATTGTTATTATCCGGTTACTACCGACTACGTCCCATTCGAGTAGCAAAACTCAACTTTAATATACGACAGAGCTTTAATAACGACGTATCTCTATTATTTTTGAAACCATGTAAAAAAATTGCAGATTTTGAGAAATATGATAATGATTAATACGATAATTACTTTTGTATCAAGTGGGACCTTCTAATATGGCGGCTCTGGCTTCACAAAATAGCGTGCGTTATCCAGAGTATTTTCAGATCAGTGCGCTAAAGAGCATTAGTTTAGCCCTGCAATTTAAAAAAGCAGGGCTACCACGAATATGAAACAACCCATTACATTGCTCGAAACAATGTTGTATTGGAAAAGTCCTTTTGATGTCGTGTACCAAAAACCTATCACTATTATGGCACAAACAGAAAATGGATTCAAGTAATGTAAAATATATATATATCGCAGGGGCAAAAGATGTGGATTGTTTCCAATCAAAACCAAATGACAATTCTGAATTTTGATAACCGCTCTAATAATAGTGCTGCAACCAGGGGCGTAGGAAGAGTAATAATTTGGGTGGGTTGCCAATACTCATATATTTACGATATACAATAAGAAATACGTGTATAATGTTTACATTAAATCCGGAGCAGAATATTTAAGAAATCTGTCTTGTGTTGCAATACAATATATGAACAATCTATGCCAAATGTAGCGATAAGCATAGCTTTTACGAAAACACACATAAAAATCTTAGTAATAAATTTACATGAAAAATTTACCTGTAAACACCTTTTCTCTCCGAAACCTTCAACATTTCTTCACTAATGTCAATACCGTCTGCATTCTTATATCCCAGGTTGAGCAGATGTTCACCCACCAGTCCAGAACCACAACCAAGATCCAGAATTTCAATATCCTGATTGTAATTAAATTGAACAAGTTTTTCGTGCAGCTGTTCTGCTGCAACTATTGGTCCAATATAACCAGTATCATCAGCATGCTGAAAAAGTAAATATGAATACTTCTTTATTTCTCAGATTCCAATAAAGCTTCAAGGCAGTTACCACTTTTTGCCTTTCAACACAACGATATCTTTATTTTATTACTTAATTGCAATTTAAAACAGTGACTTATTTACTTTTTCACGTAATTATTTCTCTTTAGAGTCTATGCAGCAAAATATTTCTACATACATCTGAAATCATGAAAGTATAACGGTAAATAATGTTTTTTCACAGTAAATGTATCAAATGAAATCTTTTTTAGTCGAGGGTTTTCACACAACTCGATCGTATTTTATTTCATGTGAAGTAAATATAACAAGGACAGACTTTAAACTTTAACTTGCAAATGTATATGTTACCATGAGGTAACCATTAAAATCCCTAAATGCCTGGCAATCATTCTACGAGAAGAATTTTCAACAATGTGTACAAAGAAGGCTTTGATAAACACGACCCAAAATTCAAGATATTCAAGAAATAATGTAAATTTTGCTTTGATTTCTTCATCTATCCTTGATCCACCTGAAGGGTATCGATTTATATGGACTGAAAATAGCATAAATAATGCAATTTTTAATAAAAACAAAAATCGTCGAGTCTGGAATTTAATCCTCTTTTTTACAGACAATAATTAAAACTAAACAAATAGCTCAGGTAAATTACAAATGAGTGAGTACAGTCCCGTGACTAGCAATAAAGCAAAGGTGTTCAGCAAGTGCAGTTCAGTTAATACAGTTACCTGGTTATTCGACCGAACAGTACGCAGAGGCAACCAGTGGTGATTTAGGGTACTTCAAAATCAACTACTGCAGCAGTTTGTAATATATTTAAATTTCTAAGCACATAAGAGACATGCTCATTGGTAAAATTATATTCTTTACAGGTTCAAAACAAATAGCGTTTTTCTGAAAATACTTTGAATTTAAAATTGAGCAGCTATAATTTATTTTGAGGTAGCCTAGATCCGCTAATGGAGGTAACTAACCTAAAGAGGCAACCTAAATGTACGCCTTTCGTACCTATTTCTTGGTCTTTATATTCGTCTCTAATAAAACTCTACAACTGCACTTAGCCATACTATCGGTGCTCTTTTTCAATATATGTTCTTAAATTATTTTGTCACATAGCTATATTAGCCATACTTGTTATTACTGGCTTACATTCATATGCAAAAAAATGTCTGTTCTTGGAGCATATAACTTGATTGCCATATTCAATCGTTATGAGATGGCTGAATGCCTTGATTTCTTTCAAAATTATCAAATGAATGCATTTAATTGCAAGATAAAGGTCACTTTTAGAGGAGACAATTTATGTAACGACGTTGTAGCTATTTTGAATTTTTAGAAAAATATTTTCTTAAGTTTAGTAAGTTATTTGTTTGAATAAACATAACAACTATACTTCTTCACTTATCATGCAAACAGACACTGTTCTTGGAGCTAGCAAAATGAATGACCATATTTTGATTGATGAAGTTTGCGTTTAGCCCAGTTCACAACCGTAAACCTGAATTTTCTTCCGTTTCGCTGTTGTGTTTAAACTCTGCCGGATTGATGTCGGCTCTCAATTTATTTTAGTTATATTCATTTGAAGTCTTTTCATTTTTGCTTACCATATTAATCGCTGTGGTAACGTTTTTCGAATATTTTATCGTGTTATTTTTAGCATAGAAAAAGTTTCGCAAAACCGTGATGAAACTCTTACGGTTAGTTGTTTACAAGTAACCGAAATTGTATAGTTTTGTACAGTTTTCAAACTGCTGCGGATAGTCATACCGTTTTCAAAAAGTTACGATTTCATATTTTTTTATAAAGCTCTACCAATCAGTGGCGGATTTAGGGTATGTCAAGTCCCACACGCGAGGTACATAAAATTTCCTAAAATTACGTAATGACTTGAGATCATAGGTTTTAGTCCAGTTAAGTTACAAATTGCAATCAGCGTGTAGTATCTGATCACGAATAATTCAAATTCACTCAAATCCGATTCCAGTTCTTATAATATGCCATTTTAAAAGCAAAGCGAACTTTTGAGGTACTTGTTAGCGGCTACAGAGGTATATGAGCTTGAATGAGCATTCTGATAGGCTAAAATTGCAGTTGCCATGGTTTCTGAGGGACTTGAGGAAATTTTGAGAAGGTACCATCTAGAATATTTTGAGGCACTTTAAGCAGAACTCTGTTTAATAATTCTTGATGCTACCATTTCTGTGTTTTGAAATAATTTGATTGGTATTATCAACTATTATGAGCAGAATAAGATGTTTTCTTTATCTTTCGTATTATACTATCATTATGTGATTTGGCACTTATTTCAAGTGAATAGAGATCAATTAAGAGGCAATAAGCAACAAGAAACATCTTGCGTTAACGAATGTAAAAATTCTTAAATCAATGTGCAATTCAATAAATCAGCATAGTCCTTAACTTACAAAATACGAAATCGCAAGGAAAGATTACTCTGCATTTGGTAATTGTTTATTGGCAAATTTATTGTACGAAGTAATTGTTAAACTTGTCAATGTCTGGTATGTAATTTTGTATTAGGCAATATTTGGCAGTGCAATCGTTCGATAATGGAGTCTTACTAATCTAATAATGGAACAACCATAATGAAATTAAAACTTATAGTATTCGTAAAGAAAATCGATTGATTATACATTTTACTTTATATGGCAATATTTACATATGCATAAGTACGTACTATAACACTACGATAGTAGTTAGGCGTATTTGAACTAGATAGATCATTGAACCTTGCATACCTCAATGCATAAAATTGTGTATTGACAATAATTGAGCACAAACAGTTATATTTTGAAATGTTTTGAAACCTTGTTATCTATGGCAGGTAGAACTTCTCTAACTTTGATTCTCAGATGTCTCATACCACCAGATACGATTGAACTTCTCAAGGAAACATATCATTCTGTATATGATAATTCACTACTTAAAATTGCGCTTTTTCTTTTTGTTGGGGAGATATCTGCCTCAATGCGTTGAAATCATATAGAAATTTTCTCTTTTATACTTGACGGTATATCCACTTTGATGTAGTGGTGACCCAATGAGTAATTTATTCAGTAGAGCTGGTAGCGATATCTACTTCAATGTGGTGACCCCATATAATAATTAATAATTAATTATTGCTGGGGTGATATGTACTTCAATGTGGTGACATAACATTTTAATATTCTCTTTTATAATTGAGGAGATACTACTTTAATGTGGTGACCGCATATAGTGATTTGTTTAGTATAGTTGGGTGGATATCTTCTACTTGGTGTCCAAATTTAGTCATTTTCTCTAATATATTTGGAAAGAAATTTGCTTAAATATAGTGAGTGACCCCATATACTAATTTTCTCTTCTATAATTGGGGAAATATACACTTAAATGTGGTGATCTATTGAATGGGGCAAGCAGCATGTACAAACATGAAAACCAAATACTTAAAATAAAGCTCCGTCCTGGCAAAAACTGCCTGGAAGTTGATTTCCATGTCTGCCTACTTTTTAAAAGCCTAGTTGATGCCATAACTAGTAAGATGCCTAGTTATGCTGGTGAGCTCTGATATTGAGCAAAGCAGTCAGAATTAAAGTTTCTATTGTTTTTCAACGCTTATATATTTTGAAATCTATGTTTGAGACTCCCTCCTTTTTTGGGCCGCTCCCAGTTAAGCGCTGCATTTAAGATCGGAAAAATTTCACCACCTGCTGTAGCGCTAAAACGAGCATGTGCGGCAATACTACTTTGAGGGAGGTAAACGTTTGGTCTGTCTGCCCTGTGTGAACGGGGTCAAAATGTATATCAAATTATATAATTTAGTTTCAGAAATATTTTATAACTGTGATGGCGCACCAATACTGAATAATATAGTAACAGTATGACTAAAATATTATGTTGGTTTACGATAACTATGAAAGCAGTGGCAGATTACTATACGGGGCCTGTACGTTGAAAGTGTCTATGCGACGAACTTTAGCCCCCTTTTTTATTAACTAACTTGAAAGTTTGGACTATTTGAAGAATTAAGACACGTCGATGGACTTAAACAGATATATATCAGTTCATTATTTTTGCCTCTGAAGTTGGGTACTATTTGCGAACTTTTTACGACGCCATATTGACACTTGTGACGTAGATAGTTGAACACGTCTGTTTCCGTGAATATAATATTATACTATCGTAGGTGATTTTATTGTCAATTTTCTTGTTTTCCAAACAAATAAATAAACAAATTTCGATAAAATACAACAAAACTAACAAGAAAAAGTATTCTGATGACTTATGGCTTCCAACTGTTGCTCAGAAAATTCGCAATCGATGTTTGAATTTGTTTCTGACTCGAGCTCGGAATCCGTGGGTTATGTCGAGCAATCAAATAACTTTGCGTACGATGATGAACCGCTTGCAGAAGCCGAAGCACGCACTCCTGACGATCCCGATGGAATTCTGCCTTCAACATTAGAGGAACGAAGTGACGGTATATTTCCACTCAATGAATGGCGAGTTACTGTTTTTACATATGCTCCATTACTTCCTGTTTTCTCCTATTTATAAGATACCTAAACTCAATTTGCAACTTATAATGCTCGAAATTTTAGGTGTAATTGTCATTGCTGTCATATTGAATTGTTAGAAGGAGCATTAGAGTACTGGTGTTGTAACGAAATGAGACCAGCTTTACAGAAAATGATTTTCAATGGCAGCATTGAGAAATATTGTGCATAACACAACATGCAAAATTTTAGCCTTTACTAAATGACACTGTTCTTAAAAACCTTGGTTAAGATAGAAGATTGCTCAAGAATTTTCTCATTAACATTGTTTCATCGACAATGATTTGTATAACCTTATATACCTCAGGTACTTGAGAGCTGTTGCATACAGATGGTTGATGCCATGGTTTTGCGGAATATGAGATGTGAAAAGTCAGCTTTTACCTGATTGTGTTTACCACTTTATTTGGAAAGCATATCCAAGTGGTAACACAAAGGATACATACCATCAGAGGAGCGATCATAAAGTCTGCTTGACTGTGTGGAGATAAAGACAAAGCAGGAGATATATGTATGCACTGTATAAGAAGTACAGTTTACTACTACAGTAAAGAGGCAACTACTGAGAGGTCAGCTGAAAGAACAAGTGAAAGAAAATCTTTTTAACTTTTCAATGTCAGTCTCAAGAACAAAGAAAAAATATATGAAACTATATCACAGCATATTTAAATGTAATCATGGAAAATAGCATTCCACATGAAGTTATTATATGAGGTCTTTGCACATGAATGCACTGTTTCACCAAAAGCATGCCCATCAACCAACTACAACAAAAAGTAGCCATAAAATAAAGTTAGTTAAATGATTGAAAAAAGATAATTATTTAAAATCTGAAAAGTATACATACCTGGTTGTTGGTAGTTCTACGTCGAGAGAGTATGTTTCCTTAAGTGATGGTTTATGGAGGGTTTCTCAAATAGTCTACAAGAGTTATATGGAATTTATATAACAAGAAAAATTAGCAGCTATTAAATTGCAATTACTGCATCAAGCGTAAACTTACTTGTCTTCGTTTTCGATTGGTCGTCTCTTCCTTAGATGGTTCAGGAATCCCATCCACGTCAATTGTTGGGATAACATCTATCTTCGACCTTCTTTTGGGTATGACTTGCACGCTCAAATTAAAGGTCAAAACAAGAATCCTCAAAATGTGCAAAGATAGACACGAGGTAAAGGAAGCCTCAAAAGCTTGGTCGATGCTTACGCACACCAATTTTCTTCGTCTTTGCGGCTCTGCTTCTTTATTGAGAAACAGATGCATCGATATTCTTTTGGTTTTGAATCATTAACGCGACAAGCTTGGATTAGGTCCGCCAGCAACACAGCGTTTCCTCCGCGTTTGTTATTAAGATTACTAGTAGAATACGCCATGTTGTAGAATACGTCAAAACTTCATTAACATACCGTTGAAAAAGTTCACAAAAAAATTGCTGAAAATCGTGACTTTGAACGTTCATGAAATCACTTCTACAAATTCAATTTCAATTATAACTGCAGGAATACAATCACTGAGTCTTTCAATTTAGCTAATAAAAAAGGAGGGCTAAATTTCGTCGCATTAGCACTTCAATACAAAGTTACGAGCTTTTATGTGTTTGTCTATTTCTCTCGCTATAAGTTAATTCCTATAAAACGGAATAATCTGATGTAATAACTTCTCAAAACATTTAAAATGAAACAACCAATTTGCCCTAATTTGAGAATTACAACCGGAATGATGTGTGGTGCTTTGCAAACAGTTGCAATTTTAACCTTAAAATTTTGGCTCTTTTCAATCCCTTGAAATCATCGGGCTAGCTCGAGCAGGTGCAAGTTTCGACCTTCGGTCTCGGGCTTGCACTGATCTGCTCGAGTTCTCCCAAACGTCTCCTCGGTTTGCATAAGCCTTTGCAAACGCAGTAAACATCTTTTATTTCATAAATAGGATCTGTGTTTTTTCGCCGTGTTCCACGTAAAAAATATCAAGGTTTTCATGTAAAATATCAAACATGTTTGTTGGATATCCGACTTTTGAGGAAAAACTCGTTAAAAATCAAGCGCACATGATAAGCTGCGTGCTAAACAAAATACACGAGTAACTCAATTAGACTTAAATGACAGCTCTCAAGTATAATGAATTTTTTCCAAGTTCATTGTTGTGTTCGCATCAAGTAGCAACACTAATCAGATACGGATAGTATAGTATTTGCATAAACAATGGCATAATCATGACGATATTTGCATAACGTATGAGTCACACATCAATCAATTATAAAATACAGTGGTAAATTTTGATGGAAATAAAATATATATTTGGTTACCCATTTTTGGGTAGTGTTGCTCATCATTTTAATAGAAAGCAAATAACATCAATAATTTCTTCCCTAATATATGTTCCAAATAGCTCAAGTCTTTTCTCTAACGGTATTTGTTCGCTAATCGCTATCGGTCCGGTCTGTGCCCACAGCTAGATTTAATACCCTACAGGCTCAATAAGCAAACAAAGCCTGATTTATCTCAACAAGGCATTTCAATCGATATTTTCCCTACTGCATTGTTATTTTGTGTCAATTCAATAATGTGGTAATATGAACAACACAATAGTTAGAAATTTGATTTTAAAATTTGCCACCACGCGTCGGTGTATATTGACCTGAACTTTGCACTCGGCCTTTGCTTAACAAACGGGGTGCATGATTCAAAAGTGTCGTTTTCAAAGAATGTTTGTAAAATCAGCCAAACTTTGAAATGAAAGCACATTACTATGCCTATTTTTCTACGTAAGTTTATTGCGTTCATGTTTACGTGAAATATTTTCGTTATATTTCGCAACATATTTCCAATCGTCACCTTGTCAAATGTCGGAGCCCATTTGGCGTAGAGATTGACCAGATCTTCCTCAGATGTGTTTGAAGTAAACTCCTTCATGCGTCTGTAACATTCCTTATAAATAGGCTCCATGAGACAAGCTTTGCTGTAAGATGAGAAAAATGTTTGTACCACTACTCCGTTACAGGCCACTAAACAATCCACGTTTCCGACGGTAAACACAAGTGTCAACAATACGAGATCAAATTACAAAATTCGTACAGTCAAATTATTTGACATAGAATTGTATATGTATAAAATAGTGACAATAAAGTAGATTGAAGATGATGTTGGGGCTTTTGTAAATCTAATTTTAATTATACGGAACGACTATTTATAAAGGCAGAAGGTGTAAGAGTAATTTATGACCATTTTCCGTCAGATCAAAGGAAAGCTTGGATATTGCCCATATGGGCATACATTTGTAAGTACTATTTGCAAACATTTCATGTGCACGATGACGTGATGTATTGTCAAAACAAGACGCTGTATTTCTACTCATTACTGTAAAATGTTCGCAATAATAGGTTATTTCCCTAGTTGCGAGGGAAATGTAAGTGAAAGTCGAGGTTTTTAATAAATGATGTTGAACAGCATATAACCAAACAAGTGAAGCAACAATATGAACAAATTAAATGAAGATATGATCTTCGCACTTTGCAGAATGTTATATGCAGTGCGGTGTTTGGGAGAACTCATTCTTTCATATGACATTTCTTTCACGAGAAAACATCATAGGCCGTGATCTGTGACCGATTTTCTTTCATTCCCGTTGGACACCTCAAGGAAGGTCGTGAAAAATTCAAGACAGAACGACTTTTACATGCTTAACGCAGTTTTACTTCTTGTCATCTCCAAAAAGCTGCAGTTTTATTGCTATATTACATTAAAATTTTAAAATTTGTAGCTCATTACAATTTCGAAATCCGCCATTTTCCCAAGGAAACTTCATGTTATTTATATTTTGTGTGCTAGTGCCAGACCTAATAGAGAGCTATTCCGCACGATAATACTGGCAACATAAATAAAATGTCTGAAAGAAATACATATTTCACTCGTGCATTAGGTTGGATTTTAGCAATTGTTGCGAAGATAATATTTTGAAAGTTATAATCGTATTGTGCAAGACAAGGCGCGCTTTTTTTAAAGGTCTGTCTCGAATTCGTCGTCAATGTCATCATCTAAAAACTCCTCTTCCTTCCTCAACATCATTGTCGTCATCAATATTTACATTCGTGCATGCAGTACACGACCATACATCTGTGTACTTCACTCCTGCTTTGTTACATAAACAACGTTGGGAGTTACAGCCAGGTTGCAGCAAGTCTTACAACCACAATGAACGTTATCAAGTAGGGAGTTCGGCGCTGGGGAATGGTCATCCATACGATTTCAGACTTGCAGTTCCCGTCACTCGTTTGCCACCCATTTTCATCCGGAGGAGTAATATCCATTTGTGGTTTGTAAACAGAAGGCCAAAGCGCGGCTTGGTACAAAATGTAAGTTCCATAAACTTCCATTGCTAATCAAGAGTTAGTGTAAATATTGCTAAAGTCATTCTTATTGCATTCTGTATACAACTGAGAGGTATTTTGCAAAAAGAAGTTAAAAATCTCAGTTAAGAAGCATAAAATCTCAAAACAGCAAGCTAGAACTCAACATTATATGATTCTTAGAACAAACTTAGTTACTATTTGTTTTACAATATGTCAGAAGTGGTAAACTTTGTATTTTTCAGCAATCTCTTTCATAGGTTGTAATGATTGTTAATCTTCAGTTAAGGCTTTATGCTCAAGATCATGTTTTACAGTTCAAGAAAGAATATTTTTCAGTGAGCCATTTCAGAAGCCAGAAAGCTGGGGTTTTTTGCTTGGGTTGAAACTTGTTTTATTGTAAATTTGATTAGCGAGGACTTTCATAGATAAAAGTTGTCTTTGTCATACCATGAAAAGAGAAAAGAGTTCTGGCACATTGATTGAAAAAGTGATCCTGTATATATATTTCTCAACAAGAAATGTAGTTATGATTTTGATCTATACAAACTAATTTACTCTGTGTCCTTTGATAAAAGTTTATAATGTTGATGTAAAATAAAGAATATCTGAATTATTTTTGAAGTCATTCTTTATATAATCAATGCATGGAAACAGCAACTAAAGATGGTTTTGGGACATTGGTATGTAATGGACTTCACTTATCCTATGTGGAGTGACCTTGTAGAAAGAGTGGTCAAAACATTGAATCAAAGTAATTCTGTGTTTAGTGAGTCTAATAGCCTGATAGCAATACTTTTAAAAGTTTATTTTTGCTCTTGCATCACTTAAAGCAGGTTAATCAGAAAAGCATGTACTTTATGGAATCTGTAACATAGCTGTAAGCTGCTAAATGTTTGTTCTACAATTTTACATTAATCTTAGGCCTATGCATAATGATGTGCCTCTTTAAAGCTTATTAACAAAAATTCTTTAGTGGTAATGATCAATTTCTTACAAGCTTTAGTGTTTAAGGAAAAATTTATGGAAAGATGCGTTGCTATCCTTCGAAAAGTGAAGTTGCGCACGATTTAACCATGAGTTCTTAAAACTGACAAGATTTAGGTCTAAAACAGGCTTCTCCTATGTTAATACATAAGTGCAAAGGTGACAGTTTAGGTTTGCTCCCCAAAACGACAGTGATTCTTCATTTAAAACTTACATTTTACTTGGACTTTTTAAGAATATCGCTTTTTGCCACCTTTCAAGATGGCGCCCGTTAATAAATTTCCTACCATGACAACGGCAGTTAGATCATAGAGTTCCGCACCAAAATGGCGACATTCAAAATTGAAGAGGCGAGGAATTTTGAAATTCAACCGCGAAATACTAAAAACTGCTGCTTTTAGAAGTGACAATAAAAAGAATATCAAACAGCAAGTGACTTTCTATCTATTTTGAAAATTTTGCGACCTTCCTTGAGGTGTCCAACGAAACTCATTTTTAAAGCATATTTTTGAGGCACAGATCACGGCCTATCAGCACAACAAAATTGACCTGCTCACTGTGTGACTTCATAGCCCAGTTGGTCAGAGCACTGCATCGGCACCGCGCAGTCAGCAGGTTGAATCCCATTGAGTCATCTGAATGTTTCAGGTTCATGAGACAATGGCTTAAATTGTCCAGCAAAGTGCGAAGATCATATCTTCATTTAATTTCAAACCTCCGCACTGCATAAAACATTCTTTAATATGAACAAGCTCTGGAAAATCTATGCGAATATTAGATCATCATCAATATTTTAAGCTGCCTACAAAACTATAAAGAAAATTTTGCCGGTAAATTTACGGAAATTGTATTCTTGTGCGTGGTGGCAACCTGTTGATGTAAGTTCAAGTTGTATCGATTTAAGCCATTCTGGCAAACTGTTCCAAATATTACGCGCGTTCAACAACGGTTTAAGCGTAATGAGATGATTGTATGTGTCAAATTCTAGATTTTCATGAAGTTATGCCTTTTCATAGTCAAGGCTATGCTGACAAGCAGCGTAATTTGGTGCAAGTGACGTTGTTGCTATATTTTATTGTGGGGAAGCAATGCAGCTAATTACGTAAAGCTAATTTCAGTTTGATAATAGCTAAAAGTTTTGTCAACTGAGCAAATGATGTTAATTTCTGAATTTTTTTCTATTTCAGCTATATCAATGCTTATGTTAGAATTTTTTTCGTACTTTTTCAAAATTAATTCACAAAGCTATATACATGTAAACCACAAAAGTAAGAAATAAACGACTGGTATAATATTTGTTGCACTATAATTAATTCAACAATCAATATAATCAAAAAAAAACTTCTTACGTACGTTACTTTTTATTTTCGTATCAATTTAACAACTCCATATCTGCGATGCTAGAGTCAACTGTGCACTATTGGTATTATTGTCGATTTCAGTTAACTTTTCAAGTGGAGGTTGCGAAATTACTTTCTAACGTTGCCAATTACATTTCCAAATATGGAATATTCGATATGAACTTGTCAACTTAAGTTTAAAGTTGTGTACCTGAGTACTGAAGTTGTGAACTAAAGTTGCGAAGTACTGGCAAACGCGAAAGGTCTTTGTACCCTGTAGACATTTGGCATTGAACCGTGCAGCAAGCAAGGAAAAGCTTTACCAATAGACGTAAGAAATGGAATACTTGAAATGTGGTTAAATAAGGAGCTTTAGACAAACATTTCGAAAAAACTAAACGTACCGTATAACATTATATCAAATATAATAGATCTATGGGTAAACACTGGTTCTATTGCACCTCGTCAAAACGAACGTGATGTTCGAACCACGCGTACAGATGACATTATTGCATACACTGAATATCTAACAATTAATAAACCATCTATTTACGCAAAAGAGATTCAGCAGCACCTAGAAAATAACAAAGTTTGTCTTCCAGCAAACATACCTAGCAGGTCATCTATTAGTAGTATTTTGAATAAAGATTTTGGTTACACTTACAAGATAATAAGTCAAATTCCTCGAGAGATAGAACGGCCGGATGTTATGCATGAGTCAATTCCAAGCGTTACCATCCCCCCCCCGGGATACCCCTGGGCGTTTGCCCTGGATACCTTTCTCGGGGGTCGGGAATTTGCTCGTAAAAGAAATGCTCGGGAGCCGGGTATTTACTCCGGCAATAATACCCCCGGGGATTTGATACCATTTGAGTACGCGAGTCGCGGCTATTGATTTCTATTAATCGCGACATTAAGTACCAATTCCCATCTCCTGGTATCCAGACGGACCATCGTGTAGTTTTTCCTTACCCAGTTGCTGATGTAAAGAGACCTTGGGCAGGGGAGGATTGCGAAACATGCACGAGAGTTTGCTATAGGCATTATGTCACCGATGTGTCAGAGCTGCTAAATTTATATGCAGTTGGCAAAGCTATAAGGAGCCCGCCGCCGTCTGAAATACTGGCAGACTTTCACAAGAATCACTGTCGTGGATGTGTAGAGGATACTGACGTAAGCATGCTTGCCAAGAAATGTTTGCTATCAACCAAGGATGTTAAATTGTGGCTTCAACACTTGACGCAAATTTCTGTGAACAGGAAAAGAGGTGCGGGAAAAGCAAAAGCAACAAGAGAATAGCGGAGCAAGGGAAAGTAACTCAGGAACGAATTT